GTTCTCCACGTGTCATATAGCCCTGATATCACCCCATCTGAATGTCGTTTGTTCTGGTCCAAGTAGTAGTAAATGGCTGAGAGAAACTTCAGATTCTCAAAAAAAGTTCATGTTCGAGAGGGAAATCATTATTTGAGGAGGCAATGAAAAATAGTGGTGACAGTGGAGATTACGTCTTGAATGGGTTACTCAGTTGTCGGCTGGCACAACCTCGCCTACTTTTCTATTTATTTTTCCTGAGGTGCTAGGGAGTTCGACCAGGGCGCCTTCATATCTCCCGATTTGAGGAATCGACCAGTCGTAAGGATTGAGATTTCGGGAAATCCTGTGGGAGGGGAAGGGTACTTATCGATTTGGAGAATCGGAGAATCTGTGACAAGGATTAGTCACGTATCGATTCGTCTCCTCATGTTCGATCTCTTATTGTCCACTTGGGCGGGGCCAGGCCAGTCAGCACGTATTTAACTTTTTCCTATAAATACTCCGATTGTTCCCATCTCGCGATTCTTTCAACTCTAATTTCCCATTCCCTCTGGTCTGCCCCGTTGATGTTGTAATTACAGTAAATGCTTTGTAATTATTCTCGGTAACTTGCAGCGGAGGTGGCTTAGCGGTAAGTGGCCCGCTTACCACGCGTGGTCTAGCTCTTAAATCCCGGATACCAAGCCTGCCGGGCCTTCCATCCCGCCTGGGTCGGCAAACTGAATAGGAATCGACTAAAAGGAAAACCACCGACTTCACATCGGTTAGCACTCGCAAGTCATTGTGGAGTCACACTATTGAAGGGAGGGCCTCATTACATTCCTTCAAGCCTTCAACCTGAACCTTGATGTACTGATAGGTTCGTCGCGCTCTGGTTGCCTACTGTGATTTCAAAGTCCGCTTCGTTACGTAACTTTCCATGCGTACGTCGCATTCTGTGACTGGTGAGTTAAATATTTACTACCCGAAGGCTAATAATAGCACTCGCCAAATATTTTGCCAGCTGGATAATGCATGGAAATATTTCCTCAGCAGGAGTTTGACTCCAGTTACGCGTTTTCGCACAAAAGAATATTTTTCGAGTTAATATCAGGATTAATCGGTGGGCCGGGGGCAGCATTAAAGGCTAAAGCGATATTCCATTTGAACTATGCGTGTTTGGCGCAAGAGAGCGCACGCATCTTGATACAGTTTCAGCCGTAATCGATAATACGTAGACTTTGCAGTGAGATCTGGTCATATAGCGCTATCGTTGGACAGCTGGGCTGGTTTTGTATCGTAATTTGTTCGAACCTTCCCACCTTTTTTCCATTGGCGATCAGCGTTACGATAAACGCAAGTTTGGCAGTCAATTCAAACATGTGATGCCAATTTTAAGACACGCTGCTTCACTCGAGCGAGCTCCAGATGTTGTTGTTTTCGACAAATTGTGAGACGCTCAGCTAGATTGCTATCTTGTTCAAGGAAATGGGAACGGGGTCCGCTGCTTTTACATTAGAGAAGGGATAAAAAAATGAAATGGCCTGACAGTCTGTGTGATGCCCCTTGTTGATGAGCGCGATGTCAAATTTTATTCACTTCTGACAAAGTAGGCTGTGAGGTGATACCATTATAGGCTCGACGTTTCGCCCTCTTCATTTAAGCCATAGATCCCAGCGGAGTGTAGCTCACATGTCTTAGTGACGTTAATAAGGACCAAAGTCCTTACATTTGTGGGCTATGCTCTCAAATTTTGGTTGAGTCTTTGCCCCCCTGAAACCAAAAAGTGCGACCAAGAAAGGTCTCTAACATCCTCGCTTAGCCGCATTGAATAAAAGGGCAGAGACAATCCACTGTTTTTCTCTGAGGTATGCAATCGCTCGCTGGTTCGCTGTTTGGTTCACTAAAAGGCAGCGGGCTCAATAGTTAAAGGGCAATGGTTTCGGCAACATCATTGGTGGGAGGGCTGAACGGGGCGTGGCCGAACGCCCTCTCACAGCCCTTCCACCAATGACGCTGGTAGCAACCGCCCGCCTACAGCAATCGTGCCCGCTGCCTTCAAGTACTTAATGAATATTCCATCAAAACCATTTCTCATAGGGTAATTCTGTATAACAATAACTAAGGAAAGTGTCGCATTAGCAAAGCTTGAATTCTGCGGAATTTAATTCTAGTATTAACCTTCCAGAATTAGAATTAGAATGCGCAAATTTGAATGAATAATAAGGGCTGAACGAGGGGTTCTGCCATTTTTCGATCAGAGCAAGTCCTAAGTTGGTTATGCCTAGCTGAGTGGTCGCATTTGTCCTAAAAATACGCCCCCCCCCTCCTCCCAAAAATGACCAAGTACGACCCCCCCCCTTTACAACGTCCATGAAGCGAGAAAAATCAACTATCAAAATAAATTTTTCCCAACCCAAATACGACCCCCCCCCCTATTGGGGATTCCCCAACAACGATGTGCCCTGGCTTGGTTTTCCGCCCTTTCCATGACCTTTGGTGACGTATCCCATTATGTCAAGCATAATTTATTCCAGAACATTCTTATCCCAAATATTTTCGTTCTCGATGTTCAGTCCTAACGATCTGTGATTGTGTGAAGAAGTTCTATTGATGATCTCCACAGAGTGTCAGCTGATGTGAAGACTTTGCTGTTCGCCTAGCTGACGCTGCTGAAGAGGGTGGGAAGTATGAGCCGTTGTGTGCCCTGGTCCCATCTGCGAAGGCTCATCGATCGCCGCCTCGTCGCTACGCATCCCAGGGCTTTCTCATTCGCAGTCTGTCCTGAGTTAGTCGCTCGTTCATCACCTCTTAGTCGCTTTTCCTTGTGACGTTAACTGTTTAGAGGATTCTGCTCTTTGACTCTGGGAGTGGTAAATAATGGCGCCATCTGCGTCGGTAATAGCATGTGTAATCTCATTTCTATCCACTGTCAGCACCAAAGTTCGAGGCATCAACTGTAAAAAAACAGCAACAACTGTTCAGCCAGAACGCGGCGGTCATGTGACGCGGTGACAGGAGTGATAAGTTTTGTTTGCCGTGGACTAGGTCCTGTCTGCATATTGTAAAAAAAAGTGCCGGCTGCACTAAGGCAGTGATTTCTCTGGAATATGAAGCTTTTTTTGAAAACCAGGGAGACGAGTCGTCACCCCTCCCCTCGTCACTTCCCCTGTCCTCTAATTGTGTGGTGAACAGTGAGGGCATTTTGGAGTGTTCGGCAGTATAGCAGCTACAGGCAGCTTTTTGATAGCACTTTTGCGAACTGCTGGAGTTTTCTTAAAAATGAAAGACAGTCACCGCGCCCGAGCAGCACGTAGGCGTCGTACCCTGTTCAAGTAGTCTGGTACGCAGTCTATAAGACTGCTCAACTTTCGTGGCTTCTCAATAACTGACACGTTGTGCCCTAAGTGGCAGTTCTTGCGCCTCCCTAGTTGTCTCGCCCACCGAAACTCGAAGGCTACTTCTGTCTCGAGCCCAGTTTTTATACCGTGTTCTTGACATTTTTTCTCTATTACATAGTAGTAGCATATTGGATGATGCGAAGAATTGATGAGAACCAGAAGCGGCAGAATATCGCCTTTCTGGAGCACTTCCGAAAAACTCGTCCTGAGAGACTGCCAGGTCCTTAGTTAAGATGTTCTCCATAATTTTTTTTGCTTTTTTCTTCGGTGTAAAGTCACTTACTGACTATAGGTTTCTGATTCAACGCCACTCTCCCCAATATACAATCGCGAAGTCTGTCTTTAATAAAAGCTCTATCGCGACCTTGTCGGCAATTCACGCCTGCCCTGATCTTCGATGCCATTATTGCCGAAACCACCCTATGTCGCAGTCGTGAGAGTTCTTAGTAAACATCAGTAACTAGTACGCATTTTCTCGTTTTACTGCCCATATTCGGCATCTATTCCTTCTGAGAGTCTCTAGAAACAGACAGTTTTCTCGTCGGTGGGAATACCGGACCTGTAGGTGTGGTGTATTGGCTTGAGTTTTTCGGCCCTGACAGCTCGCAAACAATACAGACTGGAGCATTATTCATAACTGGTTCACCTAGTCTCCCGGCGTCAGTTGGCTGTAACCACCTGGCGAATGTTCAGAGCTGTGGCCGTTCAGATTTCTTAGAGGGGCTCCTGCTGTTGCCCACCCCGTTGCCTCTTGAGCTCATTGCATATGTATTGTTGGGGTAGGACATACTTAGCGCTGTTTTCTTCCTCGAGATGTTTTCACTGCGATATTCGTTATTCAGACTTCTGGAGGAGTCATGCGAGGATCGCTCATCAGGGTGGTGACGAAGGCTTTTATCATTTGAAATGATATTTTTGACTTTCGAATGTTGACTATAGCTGAAGAATGACTGCTCATTCTTCGGCTTTAGTCAACATGCGTTATCGGTTTCGAGAGTTGGATGAGGTTGTAGACAGTCCCTGCGCTCAACCAAGTCGCGGGCGCCCTACCCTGTTCAAGTAGTGTGGCCCGCAGTCTTCAGGGTGGAATTTTTTCTGCTTCTCAATTAAAACGAAATAGCTGCGACCCTCATAAGCGGCGGTTCTGACGCCTCTCCCTGCCCACTAAAGCGTGAGAGCTATTTTTTGTCATGAGTTCAGTTGATATTAGATGATGCGACGAGATTAGTGAGCCAGAGGCGGCTGATATTGCTTCCCTGCTATAAAGATCAGGTCAGGAGAACTAATACAGTGGGACTGCCAGGGGAGTTTACTTAGGGTGTTCTCCTTTTTTATGTGCTCATTCTTTGTACATATTCGAAAGCCATGTCCGAAATGACATGATCCGCATCGCCGAGGCATATCTACGTACTTCGTTCAAAAATGACATAGGATGCGTCCCTCGTAGGATATTCCCATTCGAGGTAACTGTCGTACGCCTTTTGCTGGACAAAGTCAGATCCCAGTTGTCTCAAGACGGAAACCCTACCGGAAGAGCGGATGGTGCTGACGCAGCCACGTCCTATCTCATTTCCGAGAGCACATAAATTATATTCGAAATATTACACAGATTACTCTATTCTGAGTAACCCTGGGCCACAGAATTCCTATTTCTCGTTCTTTAATGACTAACTGCCATCTCGACTTCACTCGCACAATATTTTCGGATGATTCATTACATAGAAAACACTCAACCAATGCTCAAAATCATTTCAACGTTAGTCCCGTGGCAGCTGCAGTGGCGTTTTGTACTTCTTCAGGGATCATGCGCTCTGGAGTTGAGCCGTCTCACGTACCACGGATTAGTTTCAGTTCTATTACAGCGAGCGGACATGAAGTTACGCAACAATTTTGTTCCTATTTCTCTATGCAGCCGATATGCATTTAAATTCCATCAATCTTTCATCTACTGTGCTAAAAGCAGTACTGCTGTGATACAGTTGTGGTCGTGTTCATGACATCATTCACATATTAAGGAGGTTTTTCAAGTTAAAAGTGCCCATTGCTATAACTCAACAACCGATGTGCTTGTTTTATTATAAAGGCTGCTGTCTAATGCGGCAGTTCGCGCTCCGAAACCTATTACGGGGATACTGAGATACGGATGTCATACCTCAGGTCGGGACTCGAACGCACATATCTCTCGCTGACCTGGACGAGCGCGCATCATCACACGTAAGGGACAACGCGCTCTCCCAATCTGCGCCAGATACGGGTTTGAGTGCCACCTGGGGTATGACTTTTGCTCGTAACTCAGCATGCTTGTGATAGAAGGCTTGGCTGCAAGCATGACTTCTTGGATTTGGCCTTCAAGCTGTGCGCGTAGTAAACGGTGCCACAGCAGTATGCCCCACTGCCTTTGCAAAAGATCAAGGGAAAATTTCTCTAGTCAACTTCAGAGACTACTCTCAGTTTTGGGAATGTGCCAATGAAAAATGTTTTCCTGAAAGCTGTGCCCAAGATGCTTGGTCCCATAATTAGGAAAAGCTGCCTTATATTCGGATGTATCTGTCTCTCCCTTGTGCAGATAGCTCTTCACAATCCCAGAAGTCTCACTTTCACTGCCCCATAATGAGTGACGAAGGCGCGGCGGTCGTCATTACGCATAAGAACGCTGTGCGTGAATGTAGAGATGAGGCATCCATAGAGATGAGATGAGGCAACGCTCCTATGCCATATCAGCCGCGTTACGGTCATCCTATGTGGGAGCAGCCTGTTGCCTATATCTCTTTCAGCTCGTTTTTTTATCCCTCTTTCTGGTCTGTAGTCTCTCGCTTGCGCAGCAGTGCTCGTTTCATCGGAGATTCGTCCAATCCTGGAGCCCTTTTTCTTGACTGATGGGTCAATTAACACCCAAGAACTCATACCTGGGCGAGAAAGCCTACGAACTGTAACTGCAGAGTGTTTTCGAGCTCAGCCATTAATTGGCTATTCAGTGAGCTAGTGGGAGCTGTTTTGCAAAAGATGTATTTCATTGCTTTCATTACTAGTCTAATTCCTCGTCCGTGAATTTCCGTCTTGAATTTCAATCACATTATTCGTATATGAGACGTCGTGACGTTAGTGCCGTTAATTTCGCGTTTCGCCAGCGTTGATGAATTTGCGATTTCGTCAGGGCTGATCTGCAGATGCACTTGACGTATTTGTTCTCTTTTGAATGAGACATTGGTTGCGTAATACACAGCGAGGTGTTTTTGATATGTTGAGCAGAAAACACAAGTGTTACTGGATTTCAGGATCTGCACCCAGGTGCCTCCTGTGTTTCGAGATGGTGGAACGTTTGCTCTTGATATTGAGGCTTGCGGTGGTGAAAGGATGTTGTGTCAGGATGGCCACGAATGGATGAAGCCATCTGGTAGCAGTAGGTTTGTAAAACTGTGATATTATCTTAATAGAAATCTGCTCAATCTTATCACGAAAATGCTGAGTTGTGGGCAAAAGCTGCTGTGTCCAGAGGGTAAGAACGGCTGTTGTGTGGTATCGAATAGCAACATGCGTGAGGCTTTGTTCAACTTTGCGCCAGCGTCTTTAGCGTTTCGAGCGAGCGGAAAAGTGTAGATATCGTTTTAGCATACGGCAGCGTTTTTAGCGTAGGTCAGCGTGTTGAGCATCGCGCGGGTGGTTTTCAATTCTACGCGGTCAGTCGCTGAAAGCGTAGGATTGATCACGCTTAAACCGCTAAATCTGTATGTATACGTCCCCTGTCGCTCAAAACGCTACCCTCTGGTGCGTGCGCTAAATCGATAATAGTGCATTTCTAGTCGCTCAAAACGCTCTAAACGCTGGCTACACTTAGAGCGCTGGCGTAAGGTATGAACGCAGCCTGACGTAGCTTCGAGTCCCGCCTTGGGTCAAGACTTTTGCCCATAACTAAGTATCATTATGATTTCGAAGTGCAAACGGTAGTTACTTAACCTTTGATTTTGTTGAAAGGTTACCCTTTTGTTTATAGGTACTTTCGTTTCGATGGCGATGATAATATAACGCGTGTGGATCGTGCAGGTGTCGCTCCGACAGCTGAGCGGTTTGATATACAGGTTGGCGGCCTTGCTTTCGTAAAGTTTCAGGTGTCATGATGGTCTGGAACTGGTCAATTTCCAACCAAAATTTTCGTTTTCGTTGTTTTCGTTATCAGCGCCGAAATCATTTCTTCTTTTTGAGCTTTAATCTTTCCTGTAAAAAAACTTGTTTGCGCTACTGTGGCTTCTTCGGCTATTAATAAATTAGCTCCATCTCTGATTCACTTGCATTATTTTCATGTTGTCCATATGGCCGCCGGGATATTGATAGGTTGTGTAAAAAGATCGTGCTGTTCTGGTTGCTTGATTTTTGTGCGCTAGTCGGTTTGAAAGGGGCATTACGCCTTTCGTTCTTCCCTTTTCTTAGTCAATGATAAATAACCTGTAAACTCCAGAGGAGCAGGGAAATGGTACGAGTGAGCTACTTTGGTAACGTAATATTACAGGTCTCCACAAGGTGACCTTTGAGTACCATTCAGTGCCCTCACCAAGCCGAACTGCACCCAAAAATCGTATCAAATACCGAAAAAAGACATGATCTTCTCTTACGATCTATTAATGTTTCTCTAATGTGACCTTTTTTCGCTCATCCTTGGTCGCATTTTCTCGCACCATTGGAGGACGCCTGGCTGTGACATTACGTGCATGCGACGTCAACTCCATTAGCGAGGCTGTTTCTGCCTTCAAGTCTTTTCCCTTACTAATTTCGTCCTGCATGTGATGTCCCATGAGAAATGTTTTGATGCACGTTGGGAAGAGTGGAGAAGTGGAAATACCATAAAGTGGAAAGGGTCCTCTGGGGGCTGCTTTTGGCGTGCACTGGGGCTCAGATATTTTATGTTCTATATTCTATGAGCATATTTTGTGCTCGTTCATTATTGTCTGCCTACTATGTGTAATTGAATGATTCTCATAACTTCTTCTCTGTAGCGTCTTGGTCAACTGTTGACGGGTACGCTTTTTAACCATTCTCCAACTGCAGCGGTACTCGTGCTCATCTTCAAGTTATCCTGCCATCGCATGCGCTTTTTTAGTTCGACCCTTTAGACGTTTGCTATCAGGAATACGTCATATATGATATTCACGGATCATAGATCAGGCCCTCTGTTTTGATTTGTCCAAATTCTTAATTTTTACATCATATTAGCAAAGTGCAAAAGCTCCTGTGTGCTAGTGAAGGTGCAAAGTGCATACCAATTTTCAGTGTTTTGTTAGGAGAGAGGGTATGTGGGTGCTATGAGACGCGGACAAGGCAGTCGTAATTTTTCACGTCATCGCACGCGGCAAAGCGACAAATTCTTGATGTGCCTCATTTTGTCAACTGGAGCAGCGAAACTCAGGAAAAGCAAAAGCAAGACTCCATGATGGGAGGTATTGAATTTTTAGCCTTTTAACAATGACATTGAGATGGCCGAGCAGAGCATCTCGTCTGTCGGGCGGTTCATCGCTCGCCGCGTCCACCAGCGCGGCGTATTACGATTGTCTTGTCACACCCCAGTGCTAGATAGAATTCAGAGGATGACAGCATAAATTTGCAGTGCTCCCTTCGGTGCATTATATTTTGACAAAGTGAAAGGGTGCTCATGACTTGGGGGGAAACATTTGAAAGGACTCCTTCTGCACAAGGGGAATTTTCGTCATGCAATTATAACGTTTGTTTGATTAGAATGATTATGGTTTTAGATTGGTACTCCCAATGTAAAGCTCCTTCCTCTTAAAAGTGTTATCTCTGTTACGGGTAGAGCTAGTTCTGCACGAAGAGTTTTTCAAATTCTATTTGGGTTATTAGCGCCCTGAAAACTTCTAAATTCTTCCAGTTTCCTCCGTTTCTGCATCTGGGGCCTTAATGCTACAGTATTAGAAACGGTCTGTTCGCGGCCAAAAGAAATGTGAAGATATACCATAGGCCTGTTCGAAATGTGTGTCAGTTGTTCGAAAAGTTCACAGAGTCACATGTCGGCGGCCAAGCACAAGTGTCTTTTGCATGCAAGATTCATTTCAAGCCGAGAAATTGATCTTCAAGGCTCACGGTGGTTGGTCATAATGGGCAGAAATCTTTTGCCTTGACGCTGCTATGCTCGTTCCTTGAACATTTCTCGCGGAGGAAAACGACTATGACGGCATCAAGGCATGGGATCTCAGCCCATTTTGATCATGTTCCTCGGGTGTTGAGGCTGCCGCGATCTGATGTGCTTTCTGCTTATCAGGGAACCCGCTCAGCAAATGCTTCTGCCGGATCGTATAAGCATTTGCTATTGGCAGCCATGTCCAGATGTATTCAATTAAACAGCCGCTTATGCATGTTTCAAACAATCGCCATTCCGTTGAGGTGAAACAGGCCAGAAGGACGCGTAGCAAGTACGGTCGCCGTGAATGGAGAAGTAGTGCGTAGCGCTAACGCGCCGAGGTTCACAAAATAATCACGTGAAAAGGTAGCGCTGGGTCGTGCCTGTCGAATGCAGCGCACGTTGACAACATGTTCGCGGCGCGCCACCAAGTGGAATTGCGAGTGCGTATACCTGTGGGAGTGGTGTTGAGGCTCTGTCAAGCTTATGTGTCATTGCTTATTTCTGCGAAAATGGAAACAAATGATACTACTATGTTTCGGACGATTGGGACGATTTGTTCATGCTTTGGACGAGTTTTACTAGGTTAAGGAATCAGTTCGAAGCGTTTTAATTTTTCATAACGACTTTTGGCTTCTTGGCAAATGTATGATATCCAGACGATGGAGTTTTCTTCTGAAAACTGTCCAATGGTTTCTTCTATAAAGTATTTTTTACTCCATAGGCTCAGAAATGGAATATCCCGGAGGTAAAAAGCAACATTTCCGACACGTGCTCTTCTTCGCTTTTCGTCGAGGCCAAAAAGCTGCTGAAGCAGCCTGGAAACCTCCCCTCGAGCTCTTGAAGGGTGGCTTTTTGGCACTGCAACATGACGGGCATTGTCGCGAAGGAGTGTGGATTGGCCTCGAAAAGGCCCGACGATTCCTTTTCAGTCGAGTATCCTTTTTCTTGCAGGGTAGCTAGGCTATATAGAGCTCCTATTGACAATGGCATTCCTTTCAACCGATTTCCAGAACACCATGCCCTCCCAGTCCCGCCAAACGCAAATCAAATCGCCATTTTAAGCTATGGAAACCATTTCCATGCTGTAGCTCCCCTACGGCACCCTAACTAGAGTTAGCTTGCCTGTCCCCCCCCCCCTCCTTGCTGTGCCATTGTCAGTTTTCGTTAATACCGTTCGTTTCACTGCTGTGTGGGCTTGATATAGTACTCATCGCTGCTGTGGATTCTTCAAGGATGGGAGTTCCATCAAAGTGCCGTTGAAGGTGAGACAGTATAAGTTCTGGGAAGTGGGAATCACGAAGAAAATTGAGTTTTTTCCACTGCTTGTGTGCGGTACATGCCTGCTGAGCCACATTTTTTTGACGATTTTTTGGGATATTGGAGCGTGAGAAATGATTAAGTCAGGGCTTCTAGGCTAGAAGAGGCGGAGTCGTGCTAAATAGCCAACTTCTCGCATCCCAGTAACGTCCATTGGGTTGAAGAAAACTGCTATCCGGTGAAGCTGAATAGATCCATTAATCGCGTAGAGTGACGTCAGATCTTTTTTTTGGGAGGTGTCACTTTCAGTGTGTGTTCTGTGTTCAATAAAACGTTCGATAAGAAAGTGCTATGATGTCGAAACGTTTTTCTTTGCTCGGGTGTCCTTTAAGGGTGCACATGAATGGCACGTTTGCTATCTCTCAAACCCTTACCCCCTTTGCTATTCTCGACAACCTCCACTTGGCGGGGGGAGGAAGAGTGGGTCATGTGAGGTTCCTCACGTGACCGAGCGCTTATAGCCCCAATTCCTCCTCATTTATACCCTGTGATATGAGCCGCACGAAGTACTATGTATCGTTGTTGCAGTTTGGCCGTTGAGGGATTTGAGAGTAGTGCCCTAGTTCTTTAGTTCTTATGATGGTTTCCTGGTTGTCACATAGCCCATTGACCTGATTCAAGTCAAGTGCACCCACCTAATTCGTGATAGATAGTGTTTGTTGAGAAAATCATTGAACACTTATCTACATTGTGCGGTATGTTGTTTGTCCTTGAGTGCAGTCAGGACCGTCCTGCTGCCCTCCTGTGGTATGACCCCACTTCCCCACCCTGCTTGCCGTCTTCCAAGACTCGCTCAAATTTCTACTTTCTACTTCAGAACGGCATAGCGCACCTGAGTCAAAAACCGAGAAGTCAACAGCTTTTTCCTCGAGAGCGAGAATCCCTCTTCCTCCAGCGGTCCAATAAAACCCCCTCGCTGGGGATTCCCAATGCACGACGTGTCCTGAGCGTAGTTCATAAGATAGTATTAACAGCATCCCGCTCACTTCACCAGCTATCCTAGCTAGTTGACTCGATGTGGCGTTTTAGCATCAAATCAATTGGGTTGTAAAAGCCCAAGTCTTCAGCTCTTTATTTCACGATCTTTTTTTCCAAAAAATTCCGATTTCCAAATCGATAAACTGCTTTCCTTCCGTTGCTAGTTCGGGGATCACTCTTAGATCGTGCCCACTATTCAACGGTTTCAATCCCAGAGTGGTATTCATTTCTCACTATTGCTTTTTGTAAGGCAACACGAGTTGTGTTGTGTTCGGCTGGGAGCTATTTTATGACATGAATCCATCAAAAAAAAATCGATTTATTTTTGCAGTAATGATCGTGGTTTGGCAGTGACTCGGTTTACGTAGAACAGAAATACTAAATAGATGGAATAGAAATGCTAGTGGAGGATTGCTGATTTCCTACCGTTTCCCACCTTTTCCGCTCTCCGGGCTTATTGGAACCGATTTACGAATTTTTGAAACGACCGGCTTCTGGTCAAGGGCGCGCTCCGCCCACAGTGGGCGGGGTTTTGGCTTACGTACGTTCCGAACATCTTGGCCCTAGCCCTACCTATCATACCCTTGACCCGCCTCCCCAAACTGTAATGGTGGTGGTTTTGGTCTTCAGTTGTGCGGTAATTCCGGACAGGCGATGCTGTTTCGTATTAGTATTCTCGGTTGTGAAGTGGTC